TTACTTATTAGTCAGAGGCACGGAGGTCATATTAGGGGAAGAATGTTAACTTACCTGTCTATTACTTGCTTAGCTAGGGACTGTGAACTAGTTTCTACCAGTCAGCATAAAGAAGACGCAGAAATAGAATATCTCAAAAGGCGGGTGCCTATACACTAAAACGTATAAAGCTAAAGTCAGCCGTCAACACCGTAAACGATTACTTACCTCTAATGTAAAAAATTTTAATGTTTATTTCTATTTTTTAACGCAGCATTTTTTTGATGCCAAGGAAGTACATTACAAACTCATGAAGGTAATGGTTATGAATGCCAGCAACCTTTTTAGTCTTCAAAAGAAAATGCACGTACATGTATTCGATGAGATGATCACGATGAAAATCTAAAACAACTTTTTGTATGTTGACAAGTTGATACTTTTGTCTCGTAAAACATCTCCTCAGCACTAATTGCTCAAAGATAACTTAAATACAGGACCACTGAAAACCTTAAATTCGAATTCAACAAATATGTACTTACTAAGTGTCTTATTACAGACTTGAAGATGTATTTCATTCAACACCTAGTTAGCCAGGTTAAGTAGTGTTCGCGATTGCATTGTATAACCTAGCGCATGATACGGCTGATTTACTCGGCTCTACAGGAGCAATTAAACTGCAACAGAACACTTAGTAAACTGAGGATATTTCGCTCTCACTGACGAGTCCTTCAAAATTTTGTGCGAAGTGCATTTAAGTAGTTCTCAGTGTCCATTACAGGAAACGAATAGAAGACTTGAACAGGGCTAGGCACTAATCATGACATAACATACACCAATATACAAACATCACAGTATGCTAAGAGACACAAAAAAATGCACTGAAGTGCGCGACTTCATATCAAAAAAGAAGTAAATAGTGATGTTACTGGTAGCGATAAGTCAAATGCTGGAGTGTTTTGCCTGTCGAATTGACCACTGTCAGATTTTCTTGGCTTAAAGTGAATCGAAAAAATCAAGCCGCTAACCAGACTAGTGAATTTACTTTCGAAAGAGACACCAGAGATCCCAAAAAAAGACTTAACAATTCAATGTACACTTGAACCTGGAAAGTAACTTACAGTAATCGCTTTCTGAGATGATTTCTGGAGATTTTATAAATTGCACAGAATTCTCAGTAGTTCATTGGCTCCGACTAAAAGCCCCCTCTAAATATCATAAAGAGGATCTCCTTAACTAACTTAAAACAAGAAAGTGAGTACCCTTGAAAGTCAGCAAATTTTCAAATGTTGATACTCTCACCATAGGCAATTTTAGCTAAAATTGTCAACAGTCTAATGTTGCAACCCCTTTTTACGCTGACTACTTCACAGGATTTCATGTAGCCCTCGAAAATAGCAGGCAGTTAATATTGCTACCCAATGATGTCTTTACCGATCTAAATATCTTTTCACAATTCATATCTGTCAGAAAGACATGTAAGTATTCGTACAGAGTAAATGCGTTACAAGCTTCCAACCATCATCAATAACAAACGTTCATCAAGACATATGCATTCTTTTTCAGTGGTAAGGCTGAACTTGCTGTTAGTCAATAGGTTACGTGTAATATGGTGTTAGATACCTGTTACCCTGTAACGCACCTGAATAATGTGGTAATGCTGAAATAAAGAAAAACCTTAACGAGAAAAGTTGTTTCCTAGATAATGGACTCCTGCTTCTGACAATATAAATATGACGTGTGTGCAAAACAAGTAGATTATTTTGTGATTATTGTCAAAAATAGTGATATACGTTATGACTGAAACTCACCGGACTTCATTACACTCCCTTCTTTAAATAACCACGCTATATACTTACCAGTTCGGCATCACCTTCATGAAACATTAAATGACCGACTTGTATGAAGTGCAAAAGAGGACTAGTCAGTCACCTGGTTACTGCACGTTTGCATCTCATTCAAAATGACCCAAACAATAGTATTTTAGCTGCACAATATAGATTCCTCCATGTCTCTTTCAAAATATCAATAACTGGTATTTCAGCGTTCCAGTTTCTGTAGGACTTACTTCATACATTCGAAATCCCTCCATAATGACAGAAACACGCATTTCGACTCTACAAAAAGTACTACTTGACTAACTTTATGCAGAATGTAAAATTCAATTCATTTCCATTTCCTGTGATCACTCAAATTATTCACTATCTGAAGGTAAACGCATCTCCATACTCTGATTTGAAAATGATGCTTAGCAAGTAATCTCAGAGATAGAACTAAGGATGTTGAAAGACAAAGTTCATAACCTATTGCATTTCAGAGTTAAAATCCTACGCTGCGATAAGTCATTTAGCATGAAAGTATTGTACACTCGTTTTATATCCATCAAATGCATTCAATAATAAAGGTGTCAAACCTGGATACCGGTAGAATTTAATTCCATATTAGATTAATTTATTTGATTTATAACACACAGTTATCTTGTATCATTTACTTGACGACGTTTCAAGCATAAATTATCAATGCTCATAATCATATCAATGTAATCACACTACTTTCGACATTTAATTCGTATAGTTTTCTCACCTCATATGAGTTGTTTTTATTGGTAGTGAAATCTTCCATATATCTGATATAGGTATTGTATCGTTTCTATCACATTTGTTGCGTGTTGATTCGATGAACAAAGATTCATTAATTAACCTCTCCATCTAATTATATTGGACTGGAGCACAGTGGCTTTATCCCACCCTATTGTGTGGTTGTACGTTAATGCGTGCATTGCATTAGCCGAGTTTTTTCCAGATTACTGATCATATTCGGGTCTATCATTCTATGTTTAGCTGAATTCCTATGTTCGGCTATTCTAAGTGACCCTGATCGGCTAGTTTGATCTGTGTACTTGACCTCATAGTCACTGAATGGAATTTGATTGATTAAGTTGTTTTCTTCAGTTGGTTCTATCGGATCCTCAAGCCAGCCGACAAAGCTTGTCTCTGAGTGAGTTTTTAGGTTTAAATGCCACCTCAATACCAGCTTTGTCAAGAATTCTACGTAAAGTTTCGGATGTGGCTTCCTTGTATGGTTACACAATGGAGGCTGAGAATCCCTTTCTACTTGTGTTGTCGTTATTATGCGTATTAATGTTAATGTTATTTTTTCGTTTCTTGTGTGTTCGTACGAACTTCTTGATAAACTGCGGAAGATAATTATTAACTATTAGTGCTTTTTTTACGTGTTTCAATTCCTTGTTAAGGTCCTTGGATTGACTAGTCAGTTTTCTAGCGCTGTCAATTAGGCATTTGACTAAGCCTATCTTAACTGACTTTGGATAAAATGACTTGAAGTCTAGATACTTGTTGGAATGTGTCGGCGTTCTGTAGAATAGCATCCAAATCACCGTCTGTCCTTCTTTTTATTCTGCAGTCCAACGTAAGTAATTCTCCTTGTTTATTGTCTACCTCATATGTCAATCGGGTTGTGCCTACTGCTGAGCTTATGTGTGAGGAAATTGTCGATATGTTACGATTTCAACACAGTAAATGTGTCATCCATATATCACCAACATGTTTTTGGTGAACGACTAAACGTTTGTAAAGCTATGTTTTCCTAACTATCCATAAATATATCTGCTACGGTTGGGGATATTGGCGATCTTATTACTACTCCTTCTGTTTGTCTGTATATTTTGTCCTGAAACTTGAAGAATGTGGAGGTCAGGCACAACTGTACGCCTAACATGATCTAATCAATCGATATCTTAGTTCTGTGAGTAAGTTCTGAGTCAGTATTTAGTTGATTTCTGACTGCCTCCAGTTCCATATTGATTGGTATTTTAGTATACAGACTCGTTACATAGAAGTTAACCATTTTTTCATCCTCTTCTATGTGTAGGTCAATGAGCCTAAGTTTTAACTCGTAAAAGCTTACTAGTCTGGAATTTGAACGGTTTCTAATAGGACATAATATCGATGCTAAGTACTTTGTTATTTCACATGTCAACTGAAGTCAACTGTAAGTCCAATGAGATGACGTGGTTTATGAAGCTTAATAGTGCCATAAATTCTGCTAGGATTATTAGTTTTAGGCATTAAATTTAACCATTTAGACTGACCTAGAGATGACTTCAGTTAGCGTATCAGATTGGGTGTAGATTTCTAAATTTTATTCATGACCGCATCTAAAGGCTTCTTGATTTCTTCATATGGTCCTGTTTGGATGTGTTCGTCAATCTTGTTGAAGTAATCCAATTTGTTCATAAAAATCCGATAGAACCAATTGAAGAAAACAACTTAATCAATCAAATTCCATTCAGTGACTATGAGGTCAAGTACACAGATCAAACTAGCCGATCAGGGTCACTTAGAATAGCCGAACATAGGAATTCAGCTAAACATAGAATGATAGACCCGAATATGATCAGTAATCTGGAAAAAACTCGGCTAATGCAATGCACGCATTAACGTACAACCACACAATAGGGTGGGATAAAGCCACTGTGCTCCAGTCCAATATAATTAGATGGAGAGGTTAATTAATGAATCTTTGTTCATCGAATCAACACGCAACAAATGTGATAGAAACGATACAATACCTATATCAGATATATGGAAGATTTCACTACCAATAAAAACAACTCATATGAGGTGAGAAAACTATACGAATTAAATGTCGAAAGTAGTGTGATTACATTGATATGATTATGAGCATTGATAATTTATGCTTGAAACGTCGTCAAGTAAATGATACAAGATAACTGTGTGTTATAAATCAAATAAATTAATCTAATATGTAATGCATTCAATAATCAAATGGCAACTTATTTTACTTATTGGTCTTCCTCGAAAAACATATAGTATAGCGTTTTCATGTATTTAACAGGTTTCCATTATTACACGTCGTATTTGCCACGAAATCTGATACTTTTTCAGGGACTGTCAGCATTTGCTTGTAACAGAATATCATATGACAAAAAATTATTTCAGAAGTTTGCATTACCACTGTTTCATAAGAACTACTCAGGTTTTGCAAAACGAAAGTTTTATTGATTAAAAATATCTTTTTTAAACATTTTGGTGTATTGTCCTTCTTCCTGTTTTACGTTTCATAAGTAATGATCATCAAAATAATAGTATTAGAACACAGTTTTCTCACTCAACGTCATTTTAATAATCTCAAAAGTAAGTACTACTGTTGTGGGATGGAACAGAACACAGTCTGCTTATTCTGCCTCTGTAAAAAAAGAAAAATATGCTGCAGTTGTGTCATAAGTTCCATAGAAGTTGACAACAATGAATACTTCAGCACTGACTTCATCATAAAAACAGTATTTAGGATTTTACGTGTACCTAACAACTTCATAAATGATGAAATTCCTCGAAATTGCTTATGCTTACTGTCATCCAACGAAATTTAAATCTAACCGGCTACATTTCCTATTCATACCTATGTGATTCAAAACTTGAACCACGTTCAATTTTATAACAAGCAAAGTTGTCAACTATGCTGCACGAACAGCGACAATGAAAAAATTATTTAATATATTATAATGTTCTGTGTTCATTTTGCCAAGAACTATTCAGGTATGAATAACTGGACTGGATCGAATTCAAACCCATCTCCTCACATGTTAGTCTGAATCTCTGTTATTTCTTTGTTCTATCCATTTTCAACTATATACATGGTTGATTTGCACTCGAAACGTAACAGAAGTCTTACAGTTCACACAAGTGTCGAATGAAAGGCACTCACTCGGACTTGCTGTTAACCCCAACTTCTGAGCTATAAGGATAATCAAAACAAAAATCATTTTATCTTTTAAAATGTCCACGACGATATTCCCTGAACACAATTCTTATAACAGTGATAGCAGACAGTTAATTCATATTAAGATGGTCAAAAAAAGCAATGTAATAAAACATTACATAGTCACTAGTCATAAATTATGGCTAACAGTGGAATCCAGGAAGCACGTTCCGTCCTATCTAGGAACCGTCAACTAGATTTACCCATGTCTTAGTGAGCAATGTTGTTCCCATGAAGTCATAATAACCACTGCTTGCTCAACAGGTAAAGTGTATGTAGTGTTTCACGTAATCGGTTCACTTCAAAAATTTTAACAAAGCTAAAACAACAAGTTTAGCAGAATGTAATCAATTCATTGTTTTTCATCGCTTCTTCAACTGTATACAGACTTTAAATTTTTAAGATATATATACAAAGAGAAAAATGAAATCCACGTAATTCACTTATCAAGCAGATGATAGTTCATTGATGATACAATGAAAGAATCGATAAATATTAGGTAGGTTTAGGTGAGATAATTTGTGATTACCAAATCTTTTGTTTATGTAGTCAATGGAGTAGAAAGTATTACATGAGTGTATACGATGAGCAGATAATAGTGTAAATATGGGTCAAACGTTTTGCATGGTTTAAGGTCAAGTCAGATAGTATCAAGTAGTAAAGTGGTGAAGATGAAATAGCAATTGATTTTGAATTTTGTTTTTAAAGGGGATGAAAATACAGAATTTTGGAAGGGATTATACTGAATGACGAAACAAATCAGTGGTCACCATGGGAGTTAGAGGAAAGTTGTTACCCTCTAGAAAGCAGGAAAGCACTGAATTTTTGAGCTTCATACTGTGTTATAGGACACAACTGTGACGTTTTGTATACATTGACTTCAAAGTAATAGGATTTCTTGTAACCGTTTATTCAGGAACAGAAGCTCAATTTCTTAAGATAACTTGTTAAGCACAACAAATTTACGACTACAGATAAAGGACTTTACTTCATAACGGTTTAAAATAAGATTAACTTTCTATGAACGACTAACATACTATCTGCAACAGTCGGCGTTCTCTATTTCACCAAGCAAAACCAAACACTCAAGAAGCTTTACAGGGAACTATTCTATCTATAGTTTACTCCATTTCCATTACTTAGTTATATATGCTTGACTTTTAGTTACAGAAACTTACTGGCATATTCTAAGCAAAATCCAATTAAAATTTGTGTGTATTTTATAAAGTCAGCTGTAACACTGAAACAATCGAAATGAGTGGCCAAACTCTGTCAAGTAACAGCTAATATACTACAAAACCCTTAGGAAAGAAGTGACCAATATCAATAACACTTCAGATAAAAAGAATCTATTCATCGGATATATCATAAAAATGATTCCTGTATTCATCAGAATAACTACGACAAATGTCACCTGGATGAAAAATGATTAAAACTATTCTCAAAACGTCATTGTGCTATATTAGGTTATCGTTTGTCTTTTGTTTCCTGATCGACTACATTTAAGATGAATGAATCTCATACAACTAATGGGCATTCTCAAAATTCTTCCTGGAGATTATAAATTTCAGAAGTAAGCAGGAACTTCTCAAGGTTAACTTTTGTAACATTATTTCATGCTTTCAAGATAATAAGCTAGATAAACAACCCAACAACACATTTCGCTGAACTATTTCTGACGTACAAAATATTTTCCGACAGTTTCTAAGTGTTGCAATGTAATGAAACTGAGACCTTTAATGGTACCTGATAAGAAGGCGAAAAAACTTGACCCTCTGATTAATAAAAGCGATAATTTCCTAGGCACCTGAGAGCATTTTACGGATTCTCTTATTGATGGTTCAATTCGGTTCAGTGACTGAATGCTATCTAACCTTATTTTCAAACGATTTAATCATGTACACGATTAGTAATTGGTGACTTTAGCAATAAACGTGAAGTGATGCTCAGCTCCTATGAGCTTCGCGGAAAAATACTCTAGTACAACGTGTAAAGTTCATCTATGCATGGAATATGGAACCGATTTTAACCGTATTATTAACTCAATTCATCCTAAACAGAAAATATAATCAGACAAAAGAGGATGTATTGAAAGTTTGATTATGTATAAGTTACTATGCTATTTTTGTTAATTACCTTCAGCCTTGATACGTTCTTCATCATTACCGTAGGTTAACAATCATTGATTTTGCCAATCTGCCCTATGCTGTAATTATATGAGAGGTCATAGAACTATCTGTAAAATGTTCCCTAGATCTAGTTGTTCTAGAATGTATTCGGCGACCTATGGCTTCTATGATTTATAGAAATATTATTCATCTTAATATTTTATTTCTGATAGTAATATGAAAACAAAGTTATTTAATAATTTTTAATTGAATGGGAACTATCTTACTCATCGTCAAATCTGGAAATAACAAAGAGTTTGAAAATATCAAGTAAGAAAATGAAGCTTGACAACATAGTAAATTTAGTTAATTCTTTCGATAATATAATGATAAAATAAGCACCTAATTTCAAAAGAATGGAGCTTGAATAATATTATTAATTCACTCTCTAGAAGTTTCATTTTTCAGGTAGCTGACTCAAAAGTTAGAAGACATATTTAAATATTTTCAGTGACCATGTCTGAAAACTCACCCCTGATTTTTATTGACAAGCTAGAATTTGATAATATGAATAGTTGCTTTAAGCATTTTGTTAACGCCTTTATCAATAGCATTCAGAGAAAAATTTTAATCTGTCATATGTATCTGCCTGTTCGGCATCATCTGAATCACATAGGCTAGGCCTAGAGTTTCTAAAATCGGATCATCCTGCGTAAGACACATTAGAGTGATAGCATCCCTTTCATGGCTCATAATGCATGAATTCTCTAAGCGTCTATTAATCCATTTCTCCCTGACTTAACAAACGGAATTATATACGACTGCTGGTATCAATAAATCAACATTTCATCAGTGGACGTTAGTATATGTCACTATACTCAATCGTCACCATGTATTAATCTTAAAATATCAATAAATCAAACTAGCCATCTAAACTGTATTTTATTAGGAAAATATCATTTTTACGCTCTTTTTTCACCCATAGGTAGAAAATATTTTGAAACTAAATGTTTGTCTCCTTACAGATTGACCTCTTTAAAACTAAATAACCAGACAGGATAAGAGTATCACCATGAATTCAATTCCCAACCACCAGTAACAACTATGGAAAACTGTTGTGATAGTAATACAAAAACAAACAAACAATTTCTTCCAAACCGGGACTGGACAAAACTTCATTGTTTTTTATATTTCTGGAGTTCAGCTGGTGTTACTTTGATATAAACTTCTGAAGTCATAGGAAGGCATTGCACTGGATAATTAACAGGCTATATCATGAACTGACTTAAAAAGGAAACTGCGAACCACTGTATTCAAGCTGGGTGTCATGATGATAACTCACTTTCTATTCAGATGCTATGTTCAGAGGCTATTTGGATCTCCAAAACGGATGGCTATGATCTGCCAGTTCGATAAACTTGAAAGTAAAAGTGAATTTACACTGAGTTTCCGAATTATCTCAAAAGTTGTGTAAGATGTGCGAATACGCTCGAGTTTCTGGTTATTATGTTGCCATTTGAGAGGTAGGTTAAGTTCTCACTTGTGAACAGCAAATCAAATATAATGCAAATACCTACTGAACGACCACTCCAATCTATTTCCGATGTCATAAAAGATATTTCTGTTCCCATAGTTATTAATCTGTTAGTCTGAGCTTTTTTGACATTCTGGATATCATGGTCGAAGTATGTTGTTTTGAAATGATAACACTGACTTCTTGATTTGTAATTACTTATATATATATATATATATATATATATATATATATATATATATATATACTTCACTCAGCTATCTAACCCTGCACCCGTCGAAATAACCACCTTTTCCTTGCTTCAATCACTAACCACAAACAGCTGCTTTCTTCATCGATGCTTTTCTTTAACTTGATCAGTTGATTATCCGTTGTTTCGAAGAACATTATGCTAGCAAACACCTCACTTCAACACTGTTCTTTAAATCATCAGCATCATCTGACGCCAGACACTCATCAAGCATTTCGGTGATAAATAAAGGGAATGTTTTTATTTCTAAATTATCATAACTGCATTGATAATTCAGAATCTACACTTTGGCATCAATATATTTGCCATCCTGTTGAAGTGCAACTTACAGACCAATGTTCGGACACAAAGCTAACTTTTCGTTGATGACTTTACGTCGATTTTACAGCCCTCTACAACTAACTCTTACATATAGCTAATAAGAGGGAAATTACATAAAGTTTTTTTGAGAGGCTCCAATTCTGTCAATCACATCACAATTTATAATAAGATTTCTGTTCCAGCTTACAGGATAACTTCCACAGCACAGGGTGTATTCCGAGATATAATGATGAATTCAGCCATGAAGTTTGGTTAAATACATGATCAAACATGCAACAATGACTATTGAATATGAGAACATTCCACTCTTGTTACTAGAATGTAGAAAATCTAGAAATTATTTCTTGTCCAAAATCAATTCTTCTCTGAACTAAATGCTCACTTTTATACTCAACCTTATTAAGACTTGTATGTATTTTCAGTGTTGATAACGTTTTAGCACAATAGTCAGATATCTGTCAACTGTAATTGGCTTCAGTCAACAAAAGTATAAATACTCATGCATTAAAATGCAAAGGTTTCATTCTATTTCTGATAGATAATGAATTTTCTAATAGCTTTCCATCTGATTTTAATTTAGTTTGTTTTCAACTAGCGTTTATCAGAAGGGAATGTTCCATTGAAACCTAGCGTATTCCTTTACATCCTTATGATTGAAATTACAGTTTATTAATCATGACTAAAGAAACTGTTATCCTTAACCTTACTGGGTGGTTTACTTTTCACATCAGTATTCTAGAAATTATTGTCTGCATTATTTGAACTGCATATTCTCATTGAGTTATCAAAACAAATTTCGGGATGAAAAGATCAAACAGATTTGCAGATGTACAGCAATTTACCTACCTAGTCAAGCTGCTGACTAGGTAGTAAACAGATTTCTGATTCCATATTTCCTAAACATTTATTAAATGATAGATTAATCAAACTAAATGCTTAAATATACACCTGAAATGCATACAATACAACAGATCAAAACTATCATAAGAGGGGTTATGTTTTGTGTCTTATCCATCAATAATTATCAGTAATACTAGAATAGTGAAAAGTAGTGGCAACTCTGAACTAACTGATTCAGTAAGTTTTGTTAATATAGTGTTTTGGAAGCAAACTATAAGGTAAATTTAGCATGGCAAAGTACATGCATACTCATCAATAAATCACGTACATACGTCTTGCAACTTGTGAAAATTGACAAAAAACTGAAATAAAATATTCGAAAAAGTGAGTCTAATTATACCATCCGAGTCTCGATAGGAACAACATCACTCACTGGGAGGCAGGCACATCCAGCTGACGAGTCCCAAAGAGGATGAAATGCGCATCCTGGATTTCGCTGCTAGCCACTGCCCATCATTACAATACATAGTTAAACTGCTTTTCACTCAAACTATATGAACGGAAAATATTATTTGAAATAGATAACAAAGGTTTAAATTAGTCGTTTTTCTGGTGATATCATTCACTGATTCATATCTCTCCCAATGTGGTCATCTTGTTTTTCAAGTCTGTCGGTTGAAATTACAACAAGTGTATCCCTGAGACATTCAGGGACTCCCACAACCTAACACTAGCTGAATTTTCAAAGTATTGACGGGAAACAGTAAATCTTTTCCCATAAAACTTGAAAGTTTCTGGCTAAATGCAAGAATTGAAAGGTAATTTGTACTGCTGAGATACTCCACTCAGAGTTGAACCAATTATTCAATATCTTTTAGCTTTTCTAATTATTTCTGACAGCAGAACTAGTCACAATTAGGTAGTATTGCTTGGTTTTGTCCAACTGACAATGGTGTTAGAAACGGTCTAAACTGATAGTTCTTAAATTCTAAGCAAACTATATGATAGCTACTATGGGCATATTTAAAGGAAACCTGTTTCAGCAGTGGTCAACGTGGGATGCAAAACAAACTTCAATTATCCATTTTGATCATTCGACATTTCAAAATATCTCTGAGGAAGGTTTACCATCTGTTCGAAGAAGACATGTGTAACGTACACACATCAAAATATCATTTTTCGCTACGAAATGCTTAGTATCATGTCCTTAAGGAGTGTTTCTGTTACTGGAGTGACAAATCATAGTTGCTTTTCATCATAAAGATTAGGAATTTTACGAAGCCTGACTACCAAAATGTCTTTTAATCTTTGCAACCTTCTCAAATATTCAAAAGGCTAATTTAACATTCATTTCGGCATAAGGATTGATCTTAAGTTTCCCATTTTCAGCAGCCTATTTGTTAATACTAGACAACTTTGATCAACATTCACTTAAAAAATATTTTCCTTAAATGAATTCGCATATTATGAAATTTAGTTGACGAATGAACAAGAATGGAAATGGAAAAATGATACGAGAAATCAAAAAGAAATTGTTTTAGAGTCTTCTCAGGACTGTTTTTTAAAGCGAAACTGGTAGCCACTCTAGTAGTAAGGTTGTTGCATCAAAGCTTAATTCACTAATGTAGAGGAATGGCAGCTACCCTATAGTTTAATCAATTTCTAAGAACAAGAAAAGGTCATATCAGAAGATTTATCATTTTAACTCCGAAATTCCTTTTCTAAGGATTTTAAAAGGAGTTACTCTTGGTTTATTCTTCAATGGTCATTTTCATTTCCGTAGTCATATGTTACTACAGACGTACAGCGGTTATGCTATGGAGTAGAAAAATAATTCTTTTATGAACTTAAAGTCAAGAGTGAACAAATTAAACCCCAAGATATGGAATAAACTCTTTTTAGCAGTTCAAGTGATTATAACATTCAAACATTACGAAATGAAGTAGGCTGTTAGCACTACAAATACTGAGTGTCCAGTGAAAATTGTTAGTTCTCAGCCTTAGAAATCATACACCTTGTAAACCTACACGAATAAGTCTGGTTAAATATCCACACACTTAAGAATATATAAATCATATGAATTGTAAGCTATTGTTCTATAATCGATTATAAAAGTTATTTGTCTGTAGAAATACCATTCACCTGAAAAAATATAAACTTCATGAAAAACCAATAAAGAATATAAATCATACTTACCCTCCTTAAAAAGCTTTAGAAGGCAACCTTGGTCGAATAAGATAGATAAAATGCAGTTATGGCACAATCCAAACCATAGACACATTTGATCCAAATAAAAGGACTTCAAATTGATGCATATTTTATGTATTTCAAATGCCATTGAAACTTGAAAATACTGATGATAAATCACTAGAATAAAAGCATCAGACCGCAGTCACCTGGATTCAAACTTTCGATTGTTCATAAGCATCTAGAAGATTGAATAAAATTTCTTGGATTTGCCAACCATAATTGCTTATGGTCATCAATAATATTTAGCGTAGATTACCTGCATTCATCTTCTAGTAAGTCTCTCAGTATCCTACATCTTACGCCAGTTTTTGTGTCATTTTTTATGAGACATATTATAAAATTAAACTTTATAAATTGGGAAAGTTGATCTAATTCATTTTATCAAAGACAAGAAAATGAAAAATGATTTTGATAATATCGTTCGGTAAATGGAAATAAACACAGTGTAAAATGGGAAGCGAAAATTAAGTATGTGAACTACAGGTTAGTAACATGAAAACGAAATTAACTGTAATTCACCTCCCTAATAGAGTGCTGAATAGGTAAGAAATAGAAGAATAGATTGGTTTCGTTTCAACCTACCCTAAATATTTTTTTAGAAAAAGACACTTTTGAGGAACTAATGCACTGAAAATAATTGCAGTATAGTTTTGTGACACTTCAACCCAGCTTTCCTATTTTGTGTATATTTCAAAACAGTTGATTACATATATGAGACTTTCCTGATTTAGGATTATATGAAACAACTTTGATTACATTGAAATAATAATGGTATCATCTCTAGAAATGACGAAGTATACGTATCATCTATCTGCCGTATAATAATATCTTTTTTGTTCCTTTCTCGGATAACACTTCCTCCATAACTTTGCAAATGGTCTAGGCAAAAGCATGAGAATTTGTAATAGCTAACAATGAATGAGTAATATGAAGGGACCAAACGGTGTTCAAACTTTCATAGGAAGATTGTCCTAGACAAAATAATAGATCCCTAAACGACCACGGATTACCAACCCAAATAGTGCAGTGATATCTCAATACAGCTTCACCAATTTTTTTTAAATCTGATAAATGTCTATCTGCTAAGCCTACATGAGGAAGCAGAAACAGAAATCATACCTAATTTTATGCTAGAATCTTTGCTATGACTAAATTAAGCCCCTGAAGCAGCCAAACTATTAGAAGTAAAACATTTGGGCTTTACTTAAATACTGACTTGCAGAATTGTATAATACATACAGTGCCAACAATTGAAAATGTGAAAAGTTTTACAAATCTCAAACAGGTTAGGTTGTGAGATCGAAAGATGTGCAAAATTAGTACACAAGTATGGTGTAAAACTGATTCTACGCCTGTAATTGGATTTTCAAAACAAAATACGTTTCACTATTTCAGAAGATGCTTGTTGCACAAAGAACATTGTTTTCTGAGCATTAACTAACTTATTTACTCTGCCTGAACAGCTCTAAGCTAAGATTTGGCGGATGATTGCAAGAACATCAGATTTAACCAGTAGTGTGATCCTACAATGTTGCAATTAGAACTGATGATTATTACGTACTCAACAGTACTATCTGCAATCGTCTTCCAAGAACAAACATCGAACACTGGTTCCATAAAAGTGCTTAAAACGTTGATGAATGCTAAGGTGCTAAGAATATATATGCGTGAAAGCCAGCGGAAATCAGCTGAGGAGTTTACAACATCCAACAAATATTAGTAATAATCTGCCCATAATAGTATATGCTGATCACTACTGTACAAATGGCCAGTAGTAACTTCCAGAAAACTTCTATAAATACTGTTAAAAATAAGTAATACATTAAGTACTACTTATGTGCATTATAAATGCTGGGAATATAAGAGTTGAGTGCATTACTATAATGACTAATAAATGCTCTCTTCCAAATCTGATTAAAGTAATCATTCAAAGTCCGAATAACTTATTGGTAGCGTTTATCATTTCTGCTGTGAATGGTATACGTTTACTTATCTAAGACAGCATCATCCTCCTTGAATTTATAGCTCGTCGTTAATGAATGCAAAAAATACCACACACTTCACTCATAACTTAATAGATTGTCATCTGTCTGATGTACGAAGACTTTTCTATTGGGTATAATATTCATAATGCTTTGAAAGAGGCAATTCTAAGATAATATCAGTCAATTTAACCAAGTATGTTTTAAATGAATTTGGAAGTGAAAAACTTTGTTCTGCAAACATTGTGGTTTTCCCAACCTTCGATAATGTTGTGCAAATCATCTAAACTACTTTAAAAACCTAAACATGCAATAGATTTACATTTGAACCTTCTCGTCAGATGCCTCTCACAAAGTCAAGTATCTTTTCAATAATCATATAGGGTAAGTCTACACTTGGGATATGAACTACTGAATGGCTGATTACTAGTAAAGTAAGAAGTTACCAAAGAACAAGATAGATTTAGCCGTTTGTTGAAGAGCATAAAACCGAATGTAATTTTCAGTCGTAAAACAGGCATTTCGAAAACTTTAATCTAAAAACTTTGAAAACTAGTTTGATCTTACTATTAGCACATGATTTTAACAACGAGTAAAAAGGGGCAATAGAAAACGCTTTGAATGATTTTGTAAAAGTTCGCTTCTCAGCCTAAACCTTACAGATTTATTTCCTATGTATCAATTTTGAAACTAAAAATCCTGTATCGTAAAAACCTTATCCCAAGGTGGACAAGATTCACGGGAAATTTGAAGTTCATAAGTTGGTCACCAGTGAGTAATCACCCATGTAGCTGTCTATTCCTTTGAGCCTAGTAGGAATCTACGTTTATCAAACAAATTTTGCAATCCTGCCATTAGGTGAAGTGGAAAAACACTGTGATTCACTGTGTTCTGATTTTAGGTGGTAGGGGTTAATCAGCAAGGATTCCTGGAATTAGGTTTCGCTTTTATTGGCATTCATCAGCAAGGCCCATTCAAAGTTCATTTCGGAAATTCATATGAAAGCGAACAGAAGAAACGATAAATAAACAAGGACTTACTTAGTAAGCTGTCGGAATCTGTATGAAGTAAAGTATATTCGTAAAGGAGAGTCATTCAATTAGATAGATCATTACTTTGACATGACACTAAATAAAACACGGTTTATCGATAGCCCAATTTTACTATCCTACAATATACAATAAAGTGAACAATGTTTTAAATATTCATTCAGGACTTCGATTAAAATATACCTTATTCCTAGCTGCTTCCACTTCTTTAATCACAAAGTAATACAATCGTTCCTATACTTTGGAGTAACTTTGTGGCTGTTCCGAAATCATAAAATCTGTAATTGGCATTAGTAGACTCAGACTGCGGTTTAGATGATACTCATATCATAAACACTTTTTGTAAGCAGTCAACTATAGTTGTAGGGCCCTGTCACTAGTAAAGTTCTTTTTGCGGTGATAAGTGCCTTGATTTATGGGTGAATCCCTAAAGTTTTTACAGTCACTATTAATTACCACTTTGTAAATTAGTGGAATTTACAATAATTTTCACCTAGATTAGAAGTTGCGTTTACAAAATTAACTTTAGTCTTGGTTTCAGAAGTACTTGGGATGTTAAATCTTTGCCAGTCCACCTACTTCAGCTGACTTTTTAAATAATTGATCAAATCTTTGTTGTAATATACATATTGTTTGAAATAAAGTGTCCCCTATTAGATTTGTTTATGTGACTTAGACAGTGATTTTGTATCATTTACCTGATGACGTTTCCAGTATAAATTATTTCTCAGAATCATATCAATGATATGATATCACTGAGCAATAATTTATGCTCGGAACGTTATCAAGTAAATAATACTAGATCACATTGTGTTATAAATCAAATAAACAAATCTAATATGGAATTTAACTCTACCACAGTGTCCAAGTTTTACACCTATATTGAAGAGCATCCTTTGTTTCTTTTCATGTTACTGAATCCAATTCATTTTTATTCCTTTGTGTATGTCTGTAATCTATAAACTCACTGAATGATCAAAGTTTTCCGAAAGTCAATCAAATATTCAGGGGAAAAAGATAATTAAGTGGTCAAATAGCCCGATTTTTTCAAAAAACCTAATTGAAAAAAGTAATACAGTCTTCAAAGTTACTGTTAACCCAGTGATACCCTTTACAAATTAGATGAAATCAGCTCTTTTAACAAAATAGTTTTCCTCTACGAAATAGGACTACAGAATAGTGTCGCCAAACAACCTTCCCTCTAAGCAAGAATTAAATACATTCACAAAAATCCTGAAGACGAACTGTGATCACAGCAATGCCATAACTTGAAACCAAAAGCTAGACAGTTGGATATCAGAATAACTTGCAATTTATTCACAAATAAGACAAATAGTCATAAACTGTTGCTTGGGTGTTCGAAGTATACATGAGGATAGCAAAAACCCAGATGATTTCTGTAAATGTCAACTACTTGTTGAGATGAGCAACACTGACTATTCCAAGTATGTAAACTGGACTCAGAAATTCATCAAGGAAATTCAATTTCATTTAGAAAAATGAAGGAATCACCTTAAATCCCCAACTAGTTGTTTTTAATTTAATGTGAATCCACAAATAATCGAGTCAAAATACTTGTCATACTTTGAGATTCGATAACTATTGGGAATGGCATTAAAATCACGCTCTTTGGGGGCAGCCTACGCCTACCATATTCAAGAATTTATCATATTCTTGACAATATTCTGTTTAAAAGTGCATAATGCTGCTGCTCATATTCGACTAAATTGTACCCATTGCCTTACCTTTACTTTCACAGGCGGCCAGTAAACCTAAAGGAGAACGGAAGATTAACTGTTTTTTCTCAACTAATATGTACAAAAACTCGGGTGGTTAGATAACAGAATGCAGGGAAGCTTTACTATACTGTGAAAACGAATGATAGGCTCAAAAAAGTCGAATGACACATCATAGTTGATCTTTGCATATCTTTCTAACTACAAATAACCTTTGACTACAGAAGCTAAAATTGTTCGAATACTTATCTACAACTATCTACCTATTTCTCACCAAATATGACAGAATTCCAGTATTATTGTAAGTCCTAGTGAATGTTCAAGGTAAATAGCTGTACTAACTTGAGTTCCACTGATTAGTGAACATGCTTGTTTGACAGGTTATCTTTAGTAAAGCAGCTTAACATAGTAGTGAATATGTAGTAGGGATCATATCCTATTCACGACTGCCTCAAAAGGCTAAATTTTGTTGTAATAAACTCCATTTCTTCTTTGAACTTCAAGTATCGACGTAGGACCCTTACTGGGTATTTGATGTGTTTAACATACTGTTAAAATAATATTGTTGTTAACAAAAATCTTTCTCCATGTCTGTCTCAAAGATTCCCAGTACAACTTTTTGAAACTGCATTTTTTATCTCACTGAACCAAGATTTTTGAAGTTCAAAACACTGAACACTTTGCTTCAGATAGAAACTTTCCTGTCATTCGCACTATTGGATTTGAATTGCAGAAGATTTTTGGGGGAAATTAGTAAAATTAGTTATGCATGTAGTGTCAGTATTATTATATTCTTCAGCATCTATATGGAAACCAGTTTTGTATTTTTACGTTATCTGATACAACTCGACACAGGTTTGCACCATATTCTATAACTATTCCTTCTTGATACACAACAAGTAAACGTTGGTCAGTGCATTTCTTAATAAAACATTCATTAGAGCATAGGTGTGTCAATTGAGATGAAATTTGAAGTCACTGAAGTACTGTACTGAGATGCTCGTGTTCAGGTTGCGTATATCCTGTCACTTATATTGATTAAAGTAATGGAAAACAGCGGATTTCAACTAAAAAACTCATTGCTATCACTATATCTTTCCCATCCAAGGAATTCAATAAGAGGTTTTATAAATGAACGTTAGACTACTTCCTTTGTAATCAATGTGGTCAGCGTCTTCTATGAAGTTTCATCTGAAACACTTTGGTTGTTAGGGGACTCTAAGTCAAGAATGCTACACTCTACACACAATTCGTCTAAAGAAAGATACAGTTCATAAATTGATTTCATGCTTCCGTCTGATCAGTTTAAAGTGTAGTTTATCCTATGCTCACTAAAATGACGGGCTGAATTTTTCAGTGAAGAATTAATAACAACACAGGACACAAACACTGTGACCTGTAATTTCCCACTCCAACAACAAATCACTTAACTTTTTGACTGTTTAACAAGCAAACAATACTGAAATTTAGCATTTAGTGGCTTCGATGTAAGAAGTTGTTTTTTTTAGTCTGCCAGTTCACAAATATGTAAAGCATCTGTACACCTTCAGTAACACTGTTTACAGCTATGTAACATGATACGGAATATATGTTGTTCAGTGCATCCAGTTCTAACTAGACATTTGACTGATGATAAGACTACATGTCAATGAAATTTTAGCATGATTAGTAAATCAAAAGATAGAATACCCTACTGCAGAAAAAACTGGCCTAAACAGCGAAAATTTCCGGTAATCTTATTTTGATTTTCTAAACACGCTATGATCATACCGGAATATATTCTTGCAGTTATTAAAGTAGACTCATGCTCAACTACAGTTTGGATGCCTATGAGCGTTGGAATGTCTCATATAATTCACCTGTGGTGTAGACTAGGAGAAATCAGTTGAAAAACTTTTGTACTGGAATATTATCAGTCATTACCTTATCAGGACTGATTTCTAAACGTTCCGCAAAAGAGGTTATCAGTGAATAAAACAAGCTGTCCGCTAGTTCATTTCCGAAACAATATTTGGAATTTAGTAGGCAGAAGATACAACCAGGATGTTTTGGACGTTTACTTCAAATTGTTGAAGTAATTCTCTGTCTCTCAACAGAGTCTTTATACTACACCTGCTTTCATAAAATCATAGCTAGAAACGTACTTTGGAACTAAGAGTATATCTGTCTCAGCCATACATCATGGATTATATTGATAACTTTCTTCACGAAATAATATAAGCTGGGAAATTGCTGATACATGATATTCTGGTAGAACTTTTCTGAAGACGCAGTATTCAAATACAGCATCTCCTCCAATGCCTTTTGTGAAGATCGCCTCGAATAGAAACCAAAATATACCATAATGGTGTTTTTGAAGACGGTGTCGAAAATAATAATGTTAAACAGTAGATAGTAGTTAATAACCACAATTATCCATCACGAACGTACATACTACACTTGTCAAAAGGGAAGCCTCAGCTGTTTCCAAACACAGAATGCCTAAAAAGAAAGTTTAAGATATTTAGAAACACAGAATTTGTCAAGTAAAGTTTAGTACAGCGTCGTAATTATCTTTTTTGCCTTTAGTATTTTCTTGTCCATTCGGTAGATACTACACGGTACAACCTAACCATTTGACCAACCATTTATCAAATGAATGATAACAGGTAATTTAAGAATCTCTATACGAAACCTTCAGGGAAACGAAGCTAGGTGCAACTTGTTGAATCTAAATCCTGCGATTAATTATGCTTTACTTTTCGCTAATGATAAATCGCCTAGACAGTGTTAAGGTGGCGTTTCACTTGTTTCTTCCTCACCACCAGTTATGATCTCTTTTAACGTTTCACTGCATGACATATATCTGCATTCATAAAGGCTTTTATAGAATATACTGGTATTACGTCAATACAAGATGGCCTAACAAACATGAGTCTGTTCAACCTGTCTTATTTCTGCTAATCGAAACACAACTATATCATCACTAAGATACATGTGCTGATAAAGTAGAACTATGTTCTGTAATATTAGTGTAAAATAGTACTAGTTTTGGACTCATCTAGTCAAAAAATACATTATGGAATAACATCATAAGATGGCTGTCAGAGATAACTTTAGAACGAGACTGAGTTTAAACTAAGTGGAGGATTTGAAGGAATTTCTTTCCACATGATCATTGTTATGTTAGCAAGTGCAATGACTTTTAGAATGTAAAATATCTGCTGTGCTTGTGAATAATTATTCTGCAAAACTGCATGGAATTCATTCAACCACTAACAGATTTTATTTCTCCGGGATATAAATGATGCTAAAAACGCAAAGAAGTTCTTCTGAATATTAGAACTATTAGATACCGATTTTACTGCATGAAATTCACGTGAAATACTTGACATATGGGCTGAATATTGGACAGTACTCCCAAGGTGTAAAATATCTTCCCACAGAAAACCTATCCATACATTGTAAATGAAAAATAACTGCTAGGAGATGTCTCGTTGACTTAATTGCTGAAGTATATTATTCAGAAACCCTATACAACTTTTAATCTATCATTAGAAACAGATATCTCGAACATCACGCTAATTTTTATAGACTTACACTAAAACATCAGCTTAATACTTGATGACTTGAAAATATTAGAATTATTTTGGGGATAAAGATTTGTAGCCTATCGAAGTACATAATTAGACCATTAATTTGAAGAAAAAATACTGAGTGAAATTGAATCGGCTATTCACATCAACTTATGAACTAGGCAAAAGATTCTAGCTGATAGTTTTTCAAACTTTGCAACTTAAATTATTAAATTACTGTATATAACGTCGAAATCTTAAAAAAATTAAACTGCATAAAAAGATTTTTACATTTAGCACAGATATAATAATCTTTCTCCAGAAGATAAGGGTTGTTATTCTGCAAGTTGTGTACTTATCCTTAAAATCTAGTATAATCTCGGAAATTAACTTATTAAGAGTAATTAGGAAGAATCTTACTTAAAATTAGCAGCATAGTCAACGTAAATATTCCTCTCATTTTCACTGACGCTTATAAAAATGATATGAGAATGCATGCTTCACATTTTATAACATAACACCAAGCTGAGAGTAAACAACTGGGTGTAACACAATCTGTTTAGCTTTCAAAAAAAAGATTACCTGTACTTTGACTAAACAGTCCTGAAGTGATTATAAGTCTGACGTATAGGTCGATGCAGTCTTTTGTCTTATTACGGCGATTCAAGTATAAATTAACACTACTGTTTATCATTTGTGACTAAACGATATAGGTTGTCAGTAATGAATTAATCAACCGCATAGTTATATAAAAATAGTAGTAATACTAGCTGTTTCCATCCTTAACTTAATGAATATGTCACTGGAAGAGTTTTTCAAATATTTGTGTCTGAAGAAAGCAAACTATCAGAGAATAAATATCACAAATATGAAAGATAAACACAACAACTCGTATGAACTACTGCATCAATCCATTATTGTAATATTTTACAATGACATATCATATGAAAAATAATGAGGAAGAGTGCATAGACAAAACAGAATGACGGATATGATAGGACGAAGAAACAAAGAAAATATAATATTGATATTGATATTACAAAAGGAGGTAAACACTGAATTCAATTATATGATTGTAATCGATTTAATGTCATATTTTGCATAGTTTCGATTGGTTAGTTTTTACCATATTGAAAAACCTTAGATTAATTTTATCATTTGTACTGCTATTCTTCATATTATATATACTAAACATAATATTGGTTCATAAGTATACTGAAGTGAATGAAATCACTTCAAGTGACACAGTAATACCACTCAACTTAGTAGTACAGATGAAAAGGTGTTTCGAACAAGTAAAACAATAAGTTAACTACAAAAACAGTGTTGAGAATATCTATATGTCAAGGCTTTCTAAAAGTAGTCGGAACTGATGAAGCACAGGTTTCTAGATTAACATCTGTTAATACAGATGAATGGCTCACAGTGAACACTTTATTAAGGTTTATTTATTGATAAAGAAAGACTACTCCTGTATGAATAGTGTTTTACACCTTGTAAACAGTTATGCATAGTTGTCCAGATAGTTCATTCGAAGCCTAACAGCTTTTCTATTCTCATAACGTTCGAATTTGTAACATATACAAAGATTAATTTCAACTCAGTCAGCTAGTTATGCATACTAAGCGATAAGTTAGAGCTAATATGTAGGGACTTAGGCTAGTATTCTCTTCATAAATTGTAGCATCTTGAACATCGGTAACAAAAAAAGTAAGAAAAGAACTTCCAATGAATATGTTACTTCCTATTAAACAGTCCTGACAAATTCATTTCACTCCAATTGAAATTTTTCTTTCTGAATTCTATATTGAAGTTAAAGGCTTCACGGTTGGGGAAAAAAATCACCTTGAAATTTCTTGTAGATTTTATAAGCTTTCTACGAAATCTATGAAAACTAACACACTTGAGTATGATGACATACCTAAAGCACCAATGAGTAAGATAGTGTCGAGATACGCGTACACTTTACTTCAACAGAGTACAAGATTATAAGGATCGGCAGACATTTATATAACTATAACCAGGCAATAACTATTTCCAGAGTATTATCAAACGCTTCCTTTGGGAAAGTAATCTAAATCAATATATCCAAGGAGACATATTTCGGTGAAAAATTTCACAATTTTATTCTTACTACTTTTAATGTTATGTAAAACAGATAGGGAAAAATGAAATGTCTGCAATGACAACAGTGACAGACTTCTCGACGAATCGCTTTTAAAATGGACATTATTAAAATCGAAAACCTTCAGAAGAACACATGCAGCTATGAATGTAGAACCTTACTGAAAAAAATATCCAGTTAAAAATATATGGTATCATCAGTACCTTTCGTCAAATGTGAGATTTTAACAAGGTCACTGAAAAAAATTCGTTCTTAGATATCGGTTTGATACATTGCAACTCACTGAATAGGTGTAACCAACATAACTAACCGAAAACTCTTGCTGAAATGATCTAAGTCTGTGACAACAAAAATAATGGGCAATTTCTTAGAAAAGGTATTTCGCGAAAATTTACGACAGATGGTCGGATTGTATCAAGAATATATAATCATGATAAGTAACTTAAAATAGTTTGATTGTGAATAAATTTGAAAGCGAGCGTTAGAAACTTTTTAATAGGTCACAGAATCCCATAGTAACTGGTTTAAGGTAAATTAATAAGCCAATTATTGGGATATAAAGGTAGTGTGAATGAGGTTTCGTGTCCTCAAAGAATCAGAAAGCGAAAATGTGTTCTGATAAGCACATTTTAAATGAAGAAAATACCGAAAATTCAACAACCTTAGTTCAGAAATCTAAATCTTCCCTTCCTAATCGCTTCACGTAGTAGATCTGTTAATAAATTGTTTGAAAATATCACATCATCATTTAGAGTCAAACAAGAAATATCGATTGTAAACCATTGGTAAATTCACTTGTTTGTTTTAGTTTTTAAGAAGATCAGAAGCTACCAGAGCAACCCAATTCATATTTCAGTTGAAGAAAAGCTTATGAGTTCCACAACTTGAAGACACACTTTGCTAAAACATGAAAACCCACCAAATGTTTATAAAACAATGAGGTTGAAATAACCAACACCATGAGCAATGTTTCACACATACTGCACTGAAGGCAAAGAATAATACTGAGGTTAGTGTTTCACAATCAGCAGAATTTAGACAAGTTGTAGAAAGTGTTGCGTTGGATTATTTACAGTAAATTGAAGAATCTTCTAAAAAGTTATAATATGGTGTCTTGTAACGCATATCATGCTGTTTACATAAATCTGTCATGTAGACTTCAAAATCTCAAAGAATTCAGATCATTTCAGGCCGGAATCCATCATGAACTGATATCAGTTTGAGGAACACTGAAAACCTAGGAGCAGTAGACAGCTTTTTCTTCCTAGTATGGGACTCCTCATCAGTGAGCACCCAGGACCTTCAAGTTCCGTGGCCAGGGCGTTACGATTAAGTCACTGGGTAGGATTATAATGGTCCACATTTCCTACTTCTGTCATTTCACGATATACCCCTACCTACGTCCATTGCCGTCGCTGAATAACAACAGTACTCACGTTCGACTTGGTTGGCTCCACTGATCACGACTTCTCATTGGGACTCCAGGAATCGCTTCACGAAGCCAGTCACCGATGGGTGCTAGATCAATTCAGTCTGGGGGTTTGTGGGGATTTATTAATTGATTTTGGATTGGAATTCATCATGGACTGACGTTAGTTGGAGGAACATTGGAAACTAAGGAGCACTGGATAGGTGTTTCATCTTAGTATAGGACTGGCGTGGTCATGGGTGCTCAGTGCTGAGTCCCGTACTAGGAAGAAACAGCTGTCCAGTGCTCTCATATTCCCAGTGTTCCTCCAACTGATGTCAGTCCATGGTGAATTCCAACCTCAAATCAATAAACAAATCTGCACAAACTTCCAGAGTGAATTCAGATCATTATAAAGTTCAGCTGGATAATATATGATGCTGTCAAAAGAACACTATCGCAGTTGAATCACCTAAATGATGTCAGTGCCAGAACTCTGACTTTTTGTAATCGGCACGGAACACTATTCAGGGGGAAACGGTCACTTTAAATCCCTACTAAATAAATGTGAACCCTTTTAGTAAAAGTATTTCATTTATTTCTGCCATAAGATGAAAAGCCCTGAGTTTTAACCTGAGACACCAGAAACCTACTTACGTGAAAAAGTTCATTCATATATCAGACGTCAGTTATGACAGAATATCTAACGTATTTCAGTATTTCTTATGAGAATTATCAGATAAACGCCGTATACAACAATTCTACAAACAGCATGTACAAGATCATTATTGGCAGGAATAAGTTACACATAAAGCCCAGAATATTTGGACTCACATTTCACTTCTGTTCCGTATGTTTTGCAGGAGTTGCTGTCAATAAATTCTTTGTAAACAAGATCAGTTTTTGATTTACTCGACAGATTAAGACTGGCTTCACAATCATTTGCGTTTTCCCCTCAAACTTTTTTGCTGCTTACAGCTAAGAACAGGATTTCGCATTTTCGAAATGCTACTCAAATGAAAAACAAACTGCAGTTCCCCTTAAGACTCAGAACGAAATGTCTTAGTCAGCATAAGTTATTCTAACATGCAACCCAAAATTTCATGTGATACCGTCTTACATGATCGTAGGGTTTCAAGTTTGTTTGTAGTCGAAGTCAGTGATCAACTAAATCCCTGGATTTTTACCGATATATATTCATCTATCAGTATGACACCATGATAAAGTTAAATGCAACTAGCATGTTTTTGTATTACTTCTTTCTAAAACGATTCAACTCGGGAATCGTGAGTTCAGATGAGGTTCATGTCGGTTGAATGATCATTTTGAGTTGAATTTCCTTAACTAACGAGATCACTTTTAGTTGGCTTTTGAGTTAAATAATCAGTAATATATTCAGTTATGTATGCAACCAATGACTGACTAACATTTAAGCGTGAACGGCCTTATAAATGTTAATTGAGCATATTCCAAGCACACAGTAACCCAACCTTCCTATCGGCATAACAGAATTTGCAAACTTAAAGCAAACCTACTGAAAAGATTGACAATGAATAGTAAAATGTAGCTTAATTGTTAGCTGATTCGGATAAGTCAAATAAACTTTTACATACAAAGCAAAAATAGTCAATAAGATATTCATCATTATGAAATCCTGTTAACTAATGCTTTGTTTTGAAAGAAACTGTGACTGAATACGACCATTCCTTGATAAAGGAATTCTTTTTAACTTACAAAACCATCTTAAAGAAAATATAACAACTAGATGATTTTATCACCTTAGCAAAGAGTAAACATTAGAAAAATAACAAACACCACTGTGTTTTACACTACTTAAACAGTACAAAACATCAATTGCCACCTGCGTATAAGCAATATTTGCTATGCTGCTAAAGTTTTCAAAAACGAAAATGTAGCAGAAATGCCTTGCCTGTTTTCAATGTCTTCTCACACTGTCAAACATTGCAGTATTTGATATGACTTAAATTAGTTGAAGATTTGTTTCTGGAATTTTCATGTTTACATTTAGTCACTTTTCTTCGTTAAGAACAGTGATATAAAATACAAATGTGTTGTCAGATCCGAATTAACCGGTCGTAGTTCATATCCATTAAGATACATATAGACTGATTTACTGAAAACACGGTCGATTTCAAACGTTAGTTTCTCAACTGCTGCAGATGACGCTGCTTACTAGGTCGAGCCTACGAATGGTGCGAATTGTACTTTAATTTTTCCTCTCTTTTTGCAGTGAATGCATTTCATTGCAGGATACTTCACAGTTTCTCTAGTCAACGAGCTGTCCTCAAAAATTTCTA